GGATATGGCCACGCGCAATCCCTTCTCTTCCTGGGATCTTGGGTACGCACACACATGTGCAAGGTGTGAATTTCAAGGTATACCCTGGTTGGTCGTGTGGGAGTCCAGAGACATAATCACTACGCCATTTGCTGGCTTCCGGCATAAATGATTTAAGAAAATTTAAAGGATTTTTCCCCCCTGTATTCAAATTTCATGGGAAATGGATTTTTAATGCTTTATCATTGATCATTCTTGCCATGTACCATTTATTTGCAAAGAAAATATGGTGAAACTCTGGCTACAATCGTGCATTTGCACCCAATCTTTGAGTCATTTTCTTTTCTTTTAAACACCTGTTTGTGAGGGTTTCTTTTCTTAAATCATTGAAGGATTTTTTTAAATTCTCCTCTCGGGATCTTGGGCACATGCGCTTGGCATAAGTTTAAGCCACCAGGTCCTAGACTCAAACCATGGTCAACTACATGGGAGTCCAGCGACATGGCCATTACGCTAACTGCCGGTCCCTAGCCTTTCTCCTAAAGAGACAGGTTAGCAGGAAATCCAAGAAACCATTCCTCCTAAGTTACTTTCCTGTAGATCATTTTTATTAAACAATTTTCCAATGATCAAGGGAGGAAAAGAATATCACTTTGTCTCTTTCCTTGGAATTCCAATGGTCACTGGAACAGTGGAGTAAACAAGGCAATTGGGCAGGTCGGGGGATGATGAATAAATTGTATTTTCTAAGTAAAATTTAGAGCCTGTGATGCCTGGCTCTGCCAGCCTAGGCAAATCAGATCTGAATCTACTGTGTACCTGAAGACCTGGGTGCTAAGCTGTGCTGGCCAGACCCGTAACATCATTGCCACCACGGATCTTAATTAAGGAGGCGACAGAAAGGTTCAAAAAGCAGCTGGGAAACAATAATGTCACAAAAGCACAGCAAAACAGTCACACTATCTTTAATAGTTATAAGACGGCCTCGCAACCGCTTTGTAGAAATGACAATGATCATGGCCTCGTTTACTGCATCATGCACATTTTCTTTACAAAGAATGAAGAAGCCAACATTAGAAATAAGCCAACCCAGCATTCATTTCTTTGTTTAATGCCTAGGGAATAAAGTTTTCATAATAGAGTAAAACATTATCTGAAGAACAACAACCTAAAAAAAAGTCCTCTTAAATATAAGACAATTCTTATTCTCATCAATGGTGAACTAAAGAATGGAAGAAATGCCACAGTGGTTCTTTCAGAAGTTGTATTTAATTAGACTGTACATTTTCTGTTTTCTACTGATGCAGATAGATCCAGCCAATAGTGAGCCACGTAGAATTGGTTACACTAGGGGCTGGCAGGTGGTGTGGTGGTTAAAGACTCTGGACTCCCACATGGCGGACCACAGTTCAAGTCGTGGACCTGGCGGCTTGCTTTCTCACTTTCTCTTTCTCTGTCTCTCTCTGGTCAATAAATAAATAAATAACTAAAGTTAAATAAAAAGAATTCTTTAAAAATTGGTTACACTACAACTATAAGCAATTTGGGGTTTGAGTTGTGAACTCTTTGTGTCAGTAATTCACAAGCGAATAAAAGAATTCATAGTATAATTATCTTAAACTCCACTGATCACATGAGGCCACGGTATTTATAAATGGGTTAGGAAAAGCCTACTACCACAGAGAAAGGTTTTATTAACATGTATGCTGTTATTAAGATTGGTTACAAGAGGCTAATCTAGAAGGAAATATTTTTTAAATTACAATTATTGATGATTAACACATTATAATTATAACAATGAGATAAAGTTTTCTAAAAACACTTCTACTTGTAATAGTTTTCTCTCCTCTTCTTACATTAAAAGCACTTACCTAAAACCAAGAACACCCACCAGAGCCAGTATTGACCATCAAAGTATCCAGGGAAATAGGTGGAAAACTGAAAAATAAGGCAAAACACTTTGTAGCAGCTTAACAATTTCACACTGTAACTTAGGGTACACACAGTATGAGACTTCATTATACCAATGCTATTGTTCAGCCCTGATAGTTTAAAACGTAAGTGGAAAGTTCTTTATGCATTACTCATTTAAAATGGTTACAACAAACTCAAATACATTCCCTTTCACAGAAAAGCAATCTTTAAATATAATAGCTTTCAGCTTTGTGAACTCCTCATTTTGAAAGTATACAGAATATAGTTGTTTTGTGGAAGACCTATTTTTGGGTCTACATAATAAATGCCCTTCTAAAACTGACTTCCATAATAGTTCCACTTTGCTACCTCAGTGCCAGGAGCATTTGTTCAGCTGGTTTTGGCGCCCTCTATTCGAGAGACTTGACCCTGGGCCCCTGCCAGCAGCCTAGCCTTAACCTTGGAAGCTTAACATGTGCCTCATGGTAATCCCATCCCCTTGCCAGACTGCTTTAGGGATGGGCACAGACTGTCATTCTGGCCAATGGAAACTGAGGGCTTCTGAGAAGGTTTCCCTGTTCTAAAGAAAAAGCGGAAGAGAAGAAATAATACCCTTTTTGTTGAGCACGTGTGCTTTCAGCACACACCTCAAACAGCTACCGTTTAACCCTCAGGGGAGGGGGGACTACAGCCGCACTGAATTGTCAGCTGTCCCTGCCGATGTCTGTGAACCACTGATTACTAACCTCCAGAATTTGTTTTCATAGGAAATGAACTTTCCCCCATTTTGATTTCTAAGTAATCTTGATGAAGCTTTTCTACTAGCTCCAAAGCAACCCTAGGGGCTGGCAGATGGCATAGCAATTACATTGCTGGACTCCCACATGGCCGACAATGGTTCGAGTCATAAACCCAGCAGGTTGAAACTCATGCCAGGCACATGTGTGCTGAGTGCCCAGGATTCTGGGAGGAGAATGGAGAAGGGATTGCAGTGTGGCCATACCCCACGGGAGGTGATTTCTCACTTCCCTCTCACTATCTCTTTTTTTCTCTCCCCAAGTACACATACCCTAAGGCAAAAACTTTTACCAAAAAAAAAAAAAAAAAAGGGAATCCCAGGGGCTAGCAGGTGGTGTACTGAACTTCCCACACGGCTAACCATGATTTGAGTTCTGGACATGGTGGCTTGCTTTCTCATTTTCCTCCTAACTGATACAAGTTGACTCATTCGATTCAATTTTAAAGAGTAGTCTATTAGGGATCAGCAGTTAGTGTAATGGCTATGTTGCTGGACTCCCATGTAGTCGATCGCGGTTCGCATCCCGGACCCAGTGGCTTAAAACTCACGCTGGGTGCATGTGTGTGCGTGCCCAAGATCCCGAGAGGAGAATGGAGAAGGGATTGCGGCATGGCCATCTCCCCTGGGGGGTGATTTCTCGCTTTCTGTCTGTCTGTCTCTCTCTCTCTGGTGAGCGCACGCGCCCTATCGCAAAAAATCTCTCCCCCCCCCCAAAAAAAAAGAAAGAAAAAGAGTAATCTATTAGCGGGACCAGGAGGTGATGCACTGGCTATGTCTCTGGACTCCCATGTAGTCAACCGCAGTTCGAGACCCAGACCCAGTGGCTTAAACTCACACCAGGCGCATGTGCGTGCATGCCTAAGATCCTGAGAGAAGAATGGAGGAGAAGGGATTATGGCATGGCCATCCAGCCCCTCGGGGGTGATTTCTCACTTTCTGCCTCTGTCTCTCTGGCAAGCGAACGCATCCTATAGCAAAAACCTCTCCAAAAAAAAAAGAAAATATTAATAATAAATAAATTTTTAAAAAAGAGTAGTCTATTAGCTTAAAAAAATACTGGCAACTAAGTTTTACTTGTTTTCTCTGAAGACTGGGTGTCCAAGTTTAACTAAAGTTTGAGAATTAAAATGTAGTACTCTATGTCTTAATAAAGTTAACAGTTAAGATTTACAGAAGAGGGACCAGCAGATAGCAAGCATAATGGTTGCATTGCAGGACTCCCCTCATGGTCGACACAATTCCAGCCTCAGACCTGGAGGCTTGAAACATGCGTGCCCAAGATCCTGAGAGAAGAATGGGGAAGGAACTGCGGTGTGACCCTACCCCCGGTGGGGGTGATTCCTCACATTCTGTCTCTCCGTCAAGCCCAGGCACTCTACAGCAAAAACCTCGCTCTCTTAAAACAAAACAAACAAACAAAAAATTACAGAAGAATTTAAAACTTTTTAAAGATTTTTTTGCTGCAGGGCATGTGCACTCTCCAGAGTCAGGGCAGAGGTGAGTGAGGGGCAGGGAGAGGAGGCAGGCCATACCACAACCCCTTCTTCATTCTCCTCAGAATTTTGGGCAAGCTCACACACATGGCCAGAATGTTTTTTTTTTTTCTTTTTTAACATTTTGTAATCAGTTGTGGTCCACCAATTCAAACCTTTTATTTATTTATTTTAAGTTTTTAATTTTTAAATTAAGATTTATTCATTATTATTTTTTTAAATTTGCTATAGGGCATATGCACTCATGGGGCAGGGGGGGACGAGAAAGTAAGTCACCAGGTCTGGGACTTAAACCATAGTCGTCCATGTGGGAGCTAGCACCTTTACCACCATGTCACTTGCTGGCCCAGAATTAATACTTTTTAAAGGACTGAGTTCTTAACCTACACTCCATGTTTTAGACTGATACATACTAGCTGTCTAGCGGGAAAGCTTATACCTTTCATCCTATTTTCAAAGGATTCTAGGGTCCAGCAGATAGCACAATGGTTTTGTTACTGGACTACCACCTGGCCAACCACAGTTCGAGTCCCGGACCTGGCAGCTTGAAACTCATGCCAAACGTTGTGTGCTTATGTGCCCAAAATCTTGAGAGGAAAATGGAGAAGGATTGTGCAACATGGCTATCTCCCCTGGGAAGTGATTTCTCACTTTCTGTCTGCTGTCTCTCCAGTAAGCTCATATACCGTGCAGCAAAAATTTCTCATTAAAAAAAAAAAAAAAAAAAAGGATTCTGGCATCCTAATAATGTTAATAGCTGCTTTAGAATAAGATGAAATTACTTTGAGAAACTACAGTGTTCAATCAATATCCATTAATTAGATAAGACTACCAACTGAATAAATCTATTTAGTCTAGAAGATTAATAGGAATAAACTTATCTGAAATCAGAACATATTTTCAAGACCTAGATCTTTTTATAACTTTATTTGATGCAATTTTAACTGACTGGTACCTCCCAAGTTACTGAAGATGTGTATTTCTATATCATTTAGGCCGCTAAAGGAGTAGCACTTGCTAAGCAGCTTTGTTTCCCCAAACATTTTAGCATAATCGATCCTGGAAGGGAGGGAGGAAAGGAGAAAAGACAAGAGGGAAGAACAACAGTAGAATAAAATCTCAGCAGAATTAATGAGAGGAATGCCCATTTTGGTGAGACACCAAAGAAGTGATATCCCTTCTTTTATTATAAAAACAGCTCCAGGGCTGGCCCTGTCGTGCAGGAGTCCAGCACTGAGCAGGAAGCTAGATCCTACGCCTTCTCCCTTTTTTGCACACGCATGCGCACTCTATCATGAATAAAACTAAACAGTGAGGCATGCACACATACTGTCATAGAACATTCAAAATAGAAGAAAGTAGCTGCTGAACACCCTGTAGGCTAGATCAGCATTCACTAGATCTGACTACAAAAGGTGCATGTATGGTCCACCTGCAATTTTTTTAAGGTTTTTGCCATAGGATGTGTGCACTCGCCAGAGAAAGAGAAAGTGAGAAACCACTCCGCAGGGGGGATGGCCACGCTGCAATCCCTGCTCCATTTTCCTCTTAGGATTTTGGGCACACACAGTAAATGTGATTTTCAAGTCGCTCAAACCACGTGGGAGTCCAGCACCTTAATCACCACACCACCTTCTGGCCCCCTGCAACTCATTTTAATTCTACTTCATCATAAAAGCAGAACCAAAAATCATTTAAAATGCAGAGATAGCTAAAAAGAAAAATCAAATATTCAAAATCACTCTAATTATTGTCTCTCTACAAAGTCTATCTTTTCTATTGTACAACTTACCCTGACAATCAGGATCCACTTAATAAGAGAGAGACCAAATCCTGAAATGGCCCCATACCTTCCTGCAGCTGAGGTGGTCAGGCAGAAGGACAGGAAAAACCCAATCCAGTTAAAAAGGAATGCCACTGTAAAGCAAAGGGACGAAGATGTCAGACATGTCCTATTACACAAGGACCTGGAGTGCCCTTTACACCTACCTCCAATTAAATGACTTTCCCACTACCACCCTCACTTCACCTCCCCCAAGACACCGTCCTGTCTTCCCCCATGGAAAAAACAAGACGGTATCCTCTCTAGATTTGAGCTTTCTGCACTATTATATTCAGTGCTATTCACTTTCAAAATGCCTTAGCATCCATCGAACTGTATCCTTATGACCTGTGCTCTTCACTGTGTGCATTATATGTCAGTAAATAAAAATAAATGTCTTGAATATTAAATTAATGCCTCCAAATAACCTGACTCAAGCCACTTATCCTGCTCTTGGAGTTGTGACAGCTTACATAATATCACCTCTTAAAGCATCACATTTCATTTATCTTTTTAATACAGCAAATGAAAAAAATGGCGGATTGCTTCTCAGTAAGGCACATGAAAAGATACATGTACTGTAACATCAAGAAGCAAAAACAAGGCTGACTTTGTTGTGGTAGAAAACAGGAGCTTGCAGAACAGAATACGCAAGACATCTAACTCCTATTCTACAGGTTGTGTGCGAACAGAGCAATGCTAAGGGGCCCTGCAGCCCCAGAACGTGAGGCTTAGTTCATATAAAAAGGCAGCATCCTGGAACGGCTTTATACTTTCCACACATTTTATGGAAACAGAAGGCAAAGCGAGGGATGCTAAAAGTACACTGAACTCAGAACATTCCAGTAAAAGGCACTAAACAAATATAACATATCACTATATTAGTTCAAATAGTTTTTAAGTCAGTCAGATTCACCCACAACCCAAGGCACTCTGGTTTGTAGGAAGTGGCTTTCCTACGTGTATATACTTACTGAAAAAAGTTAACATGAAGATTCCATCATTTCCTATCCTCAGCTGGTCAGCATCATCAAAATCATCCCGACCCACAAAATCCTCATCCTAGTTGAAAAGAATAAGGTAAATGCATAATAAATTATTTCTAGACAAAGGGACGACGTCAAGAAAAATGAAGGGGCAAAAGAGAAAATTTATTGTTCTGGCTCAGTAGTCAAACTACAAGCATTAAAGGCACAGTCTGCCTTTAATTTCATTTTCCTTAAAAGTAAAGATATACAACTAGCCCTTGATATCCACAGGAAATGGATTCCAGGACCTTCCACAGATACCAAAACCCTTAGATGTTGAAGTCCCTTCTATGAAATGGCATATATCTGCATATATCCTATGCAGGCCTTCCTGTATACGTCAAAGCGCCTTTCTAGATTACTTATAATACCTAATACAATGTAAGTGCCACGTCAATAGTTGTTATACTGTATTTTTTTTATTGTGGAGTATACAGTTCTTTTTTTACTGTCTTTTTACCTTAAATATTTTTGATCAAAACAATTATTTTCGATTCACAGTTGGTTGAATTCATTGATGAGAACCCTTGGATACAGAGGGCTGACTGTAATTACGGAAGAAATAGATCTTTCTTTTATCCTCCTAGCTTTCTAAATAAATTTTTCATTTATAACCCAAATTTATCTTTAATAATACACCTCAAAAATTTAAAAGTCCACAAAGAACTATTCATTCTTCTTTTGAAAAAATATATATCTCAAAAAAAGAAAATGTACTTACACATTTGGCTCAAATTCTAGACTATCAATAAAACAGGGCTTGCCTGGGCTAGAATATTAATAATCCAGAGTGTGTTACGGAGATAAATGGACCAGCTGAAACGCTCTATTAGACGTGGGGGCGGGGCAGGCAGGGAGGACCACAGGATCACACATGAAGAGGTCAACGCCATCGCATTTGAGGTCTGAAACAACGTCACCTCCAATCTTATCAACAGAGAGGATCCTTCAGTCCTAACTTGAAAATGTGATATAGCAGGTCTATAAAGAACATAATTCCAACCAACACCAACACCTGTAGCCTACCTTTTCAACCCATGTAGGTATATTTTGTGCTATTGATAAATGAGAGCCAGCAGGTGACATGGTGGTTAAGATGGTTAAATCCCACATGGCCAATTATGTGGCTTAAGTCTTGAACCCACCAGCTTGAAAAACACACCCGGCACAAGTGGGTGCATGCCCAAAATCCTGAAAAGAGGGAGAAGTGGAGGAGAACAGATTATAGAGTGACCATTCCCAATGAGGGGTGCTTTCTCATTTTCCTTCTCTAGGGTGAACCTGTGCACTCCCTGGCAAATTAAAAATAAATAAATAAATCTAAAGAATTATTTATTTAATTTTATTCATTCATTCATTCATCTTAATTTGACCAAAGAAAGACAGACACAGAGAGAGAAGGAAAGTAAGAAAGCAAGACACCAGGTCCAGGATTCAAACCATGGTCGGCCATGTGGGTATGTCTAGCACCTTAACCACCACACCACCTGCTGGCTCCTAAATTAAAAATTTTTATAAAAACTGATCATATGCTTAAAAGTAGAAGTGAGACTTGTAAATAGCTCATGAAGTCTCCCAAAAATAGACAATCTAAACTAATCCTAAGAAGAAAAGAGGCTGAGAAGATCCATACCAGTTGTTAATAATTGTTCTCTCCTGGGGAATGGGAACTAGAGAAACGGAAGGTGACAGGGGCAGCTTCCTTTTCTAATTGGAAACCCTTTCAAATTTTTACAAGAATGCACTTGTTATATAATCAACTTTTTAAAATATGAAATATCTAGTACTGACTTCACATTAGCAGAATATGGTTCTGACAAATTAGAAGTGATTTCTTTTTATTCGATAACTCTTCAAAGATATACTCCAAGGGCCAGCTAGGTGGCACAGGGGTTAAGGCATCTGGATCCAACATGGCTGACTGTGTGGTTCAAGCCCCAGACCCAGTGGCATGAAAGACACACTAGGCAGTGTCCATGTGTGCCCCAAAATTCTGAGGAGAGAAGAGAAGGAACTGCAGCATGGTCACCCCCCTGAGGGATGCTTGCTTTCTCTCCATCTCTCTCAGGCAAAACCATGCACCCTACAGCTTAATAATAATAATAATAATAGTAAAAAGACATACTATAAAAATATGCAAAAGTAACTTCTACTAATACTGCAATTGCCTTCTAATTATTCTTCCTATCTTAGTATCTCTTCTAACATGATCCCTACTAAAAATGGTTGTCAGGTTCACGTTTCCAAAGTACCATACTAGTCCTTTCATACACCTACTAGAAGACTTTAAAGGATTCTGTATGAATTATTGTACATACTAAGTCTAAATGCCTCAGCCTGTATTCCAAGGAGGCTCCTATAAACAACAGTTCAAGGAACGCTCCTAAAAACAGCATTCTGGTCACATCTTCCTACCACTCTTCATGAACTCTTCGCTTAAGCAAAACCAATGACTATGCCCACAGATCTGCCCCGCGCCTGACTGAACTCACATCTGTTTTCTAGGCTTTTTCCTTCCGGAATGCTTGTATTAATCAAAACTCTGGGTCCACTTAAAATTCCACTGTCTCCCATGATCACCCAGGATAAAGTCACAGTTCTTGGTGCCCAGGGCTCTTGTGCAACTTACACTTGGGTATGTGTGGAATTTTTACCCTCACTGGATGTTAGGCTCTTACATGGTAGAAATACTGCTTACACAAAGCTTACACCTATCCATTTCAAAATATATGGCACCTTGTGTAAAAAGCTGGGGCCAGGAGGTGATGTGGTGGTTAAGGCACTGGACTCCAATACGTACAATCACTGGACCCAGTGGCTTGAAAATCACACAAGGCATGTGTGCATAACTGCTCAAAATCCTGAGAGGAGAATGCAGGAGAAGGGACTGCACTGTAGCCATCCCCTGTGGGGGTGATTTATTTTCCCTCTCATTGTCTCTCTCTGGTGAGCACACATGCCCTATGGCCAGGGTGAAAAAAAAAAAGAACCAGAAGTGCCCAAAAGTCTCTCCTGGCTTGGGACCGGTAGTTGGCGTAATGGCTATGTTGCTGGACTCCCATGTAGTCGATTGCAGTTCGAGTCCCAGACTCGGTGGCTTGAACTCATGTGGGACACATGTGCGTGTGTGCCCAAGACCTCGAGAGGAGAATGGAGGAGAAAGGATTGCAGAAATCACCCCCCACTGGGAAGTGATTTCTCACTTTCTGTCTCTCTCTTTCTGGAGAACCCAAGCACTCCATAGCAAAAACCTCTCAAAAAAAAAAAAAACCCACAAACAAACAAACACACACCTCTCCTGGCTTACATCACATCCTCTCGGACCCCCACAAGCCAACGTGAGGCTTGACAGGATCTGAACTCACCATGTCCCCACAAAATGGCATGATCTGGACAGCTGGAAGCATGGGGTTCTGGTCCCTGTTGTGAATTTTTAATTCTATGAAGTTGCATATATTTATTTTCTCCACAGACCTCACTAGCAGCTATCCACCTAGCACCAAAATAAGAAGGATGCAGAACTGAGGCAAAGTCCTTGTATTTCCTGAATCATCTCCCGTGCAAAGATGTGGCAGTCAACCCCAGTGAGCTGACACAGTGCTGGTGGTAGGAGAGATACAAAAACACTGAGGTGGTTCGACAAGCCAGTTTCCGCCCACTTAAACCACTTCAACTCATCATTTTCAGGAGGAGATGAGCTTATTATCCCAAAAGAAAAGATACTTGTTTCTTAAGGTTGGCTGTACTTTTACTATTCAATACAATAGTAAGTTATAAATCAAAAGTGGCTAATGGAGGTAATTTAATTCCCATGAAGCAGCCATCAGGTAACATGGCAAATTGTACTTACTCTTCCAGGAACCAACGGGATGGTAGCTTCGGCCTTGGTTCTCTCAGCCTCGTCATAACTGGGTAGTGTGGTGGCCACATTGTAAGAAGGGGGCTTTGGAAACCCAGACTCATCTTTGTAGTCAAAATACGCTATAGCATAAAAGGAAACAAGTGACCATTACTTAATAATGAACTAAATTGAAGGGATAAAAGGATTCCCCTAACTCTGGCAAACAAAACCCTGCCGTTCACCTAAGAATGCAGATTTAATAACTGGACCCAGAGATGTTTATAAATGAAAGAAAGAGGCTGGGGTGACTTTTAAATTGATCTAGCTCTCAATTATTTGTAAGCCAGACATATTCCGTAACCGTTCCTTTGACCATCATATTAAAGGACAGGGTATTTTTCTTTTTTTTTTTTTTAATTTGCCAGAGGGTGTGGCACCCTTTGGAGAGAGAGGGAGAGAGAAAATGGGAAAGTACCCCTTCATGGGGAACGGTTACACTGCAATCCCTTCTCCATTTCTCCCTCCTTTTGGGATGTTGGACATGCATGCATGCCTGGCATTATTTTTTAAAGCTGCTGGGTCCAGCTCTTGAACTGCACAGCTGGCCACGTGGCCCACGCACAGTGTATGTAAGGAGCTGGGCATCACCTCACCCACCCGGTTACCGACCTGCACTGTCTGCAGAGATGCTGCTGTACGGGGGAGGAGCATCGCCTGCAGCCTGCTCGGGTTCTCCAGGCTCTTCTTCATTCTGCAACTAAAAAAAGTTTCTATTTTAATGCAAGTATGAGGGCAATGTGTTTAAAAAGCCTTAAAGTGCATAAATTCTTTTTAAAATAATTCTATTCTCAGGAAGTTATTTTATGGAAATGATCAAAGATGCAAAAACAGTAGATATAACTGCTATTGTAGCAAAAATAGAAACAACCTAAATTCCAATCATAGGAGATTTTAAAATAAGTTACAGTACATCTCTCACAAGGACTTTTTGAGAGAGAGAGACTTTTGCTAGAGGGTGCGTGCACTCACCAGAGAGACAGAACGGAAAATGAGATAAGGGGGGGCGGGGTGGCCACGCCACACTCTCTTCTCCATTCTCCTCTCCGGATTTTGGGCACACATGCTCACAAGCCCTGCATTAGTTTCAAGCCGCCAGGTCCAGGGCTTGAACTGCAGTTGACCATGTGGGAGTCCGGTGACATAACCATTACACCGTCCACTGATTCCAAGGACTATTTTTTTAAAGAATTATTTTATTTAACTTTATGTAATTTGACCAGAGAGGGACAGAGTGAGAAAGAGAGTGAGAAAGTAAGCTGCCAGGTCTGGGACTTGAACCGCAATCAACCATGTAGGAGTCCAGCGTCCTTAACCACCAGACCATCTGCTGGCCCGCCCGATCCCGAAGACTATTAAGCAGTCACAAAATACACAAATAAAGAAATTTTGATGACTGAATAGTTATTCATGGTCTACATAAAAAAGTAAATTCACCAAATAAGTTTATCATATAAACTTATTTTTAATAACACACGTATAGAATGGAAAGAAAAAGTCTAGAACGACAGACATCAACAATTCAACATAGGTATCCCTTGGTAACAGAAGTATAAGGAAATTTTTCCATTGTGTTGGTTATCATGTACGTTCCTGTTTTCTGTAATAAACTTTTACTACTTTGTATAATTTTTTTAATTAGAAAAATAATCTGTTAAAACAAAGATAACTCATAAGCAAATCAAGGTTTTATGATATATTGTTTGTGCACAAAAATGAAATCTATTTTTTCTTTCTTTCAAAGAATTATTTTAACTTCATTTATTTTTAATTTGACCAGAGAGGGACAGAGAGAGAGAGAGAGCCGCCAGGTCTGGGACTCAAACTGCAGTCTGCCATGTGGGAGCCCAATGCCTTTAACCACTACACCACCTGCCAGCCCCACAAAATGAAATCTTGAGGCATTTATTAAAACAAAATTATTCTTTTTTTTTTTTTTAGAGAGATTTTTGCTATAGGGAGCATGCACTCGCCAGAGAGAAAGAGACAGAAAACAAAAACTCACCCCCTCACCCCCCGGAAATGGCCACACTGCAATCCCTTCTCCTCCATTATCCTCTGAGGATTTTTAAGCACATATGCACATGTGCCCGGCTTGAGTTTTAAGCCACCAGGTCCGGGACTTAACTATAATTGACTACATGGGAGTCCAGCCACATAACCATTACATTATCTTCTGGTACCTATTAAAACAAAATTCTACCTGATTCGACATGTATTCTCTGTCAATAAATCTCCTTCTTGGGACCAGCAGTTAGCATAATGGCTATGTCGCTGGACTCCCATGTAGTCGACCGCGGCTCACGTCCTGGACCCCGGTGGCTTAAAACTCACGCCGGGCGCGTGTGCGTGCGTGCCCAAGATCCCGAAAGGAGACCAGAGCAGAAGGGATTGCGGCATGGCCATCCCCCCTGGGGGGTGATTTCTCACTTTCTGTCTCTCTGTCTCTCTCTGTCTGTCTGGCGAGCGCACGTGCCCTTATAGCATAAAACCTCTCCAAAAAAAAAAAAATCTCCTTCTTGATCTCAATAATTTTCTTGCTGGCCAAATCTATAATTAGTTATTTTATTTTAAAAGAATTATTTAACTTATTTATTTTAATTTGACCAGAGAGGGACACAGAGAGAGAGAGAGGAAGTGAGAAAGCAAGCCACCATGTCCAGGACTTGAACTGAAATCAGCCATGTGTGGGTCCAGCGCCCTTAAGCAACAGGCCACATGCTGGTCTCTCAATTAGTTATTTTAAATAACTCACACTGAAAGTATGTCTGTTGCTGCTAGTCTAGATAGCTTATCTAAATCAGACTCAAAGAAAGACATTTACTTTTTTCCATTATGACACAGACTATGAATTTAAAGAATGAGTTGGAGCCAGTCCCAGGCTTGGTTGTTTAGGCTGCTGAATCTCACGTGGCCAACTAGATGGTTGGAGTCCCAGACCTGGCAGTTTCAAAAACACATTGGTATTGAGCTTGAGTACCCAAAATCCCAGAAAGGGGGAGAAGCGGAGGATAAGAGATAGTAGCATGACCATGCCCCATGGTGGGTACTTTCTTCCCTTTTCATCTTCTCTCTCTCTCTTTTTCTCTCCCTCCACCCCATCTCGACCCTGCCTGTCTCCCTCTGTAAAAGTAGAAAAAGAAAAAAGGATGAGTTGGCTGAAATTGAAGGTCAAACTGTAAAGTAATAACAGAATATTTAAGTCTCTAAATGTATTTATTGCCCTCACCAGAGAAAGAGAGAGAGAAAAAAGCACCACCCTCAAAGAGGTATGGCCCTGCTGTAATCCCTTCTTCTCCATGTCTCCATCCTGTCAAGAACTGGGCCATGCATGCACAAGTGCCCAGCATGTACTTCCAGCCACTGGGGCTGGGATTCAAATCATGGTCAGGCATGTGGGATCCAGCTCCCTATGCATGGTGCTTAATCACTGCACTGCATGGCCAGCCCATGGACATTCACTGCTGTAAGCCACTGGGGGGCCTGGTCCTGGCTTCAGTACCGTCATGGTACATAGAGTCAGAGGTGTCCCAACATAAAGGACACCTCTAATCCACTACATTGTAACTGATGATCTCAATCTCCAGTCCCTACACTCTTCAAAAACAGAGGCCAACAAAACTTTTCCGAGTAGTTCTGCAAAGCATTAGATTTCAAATGAATTCTGTGCCAAATTCTTATCTGGATCTATCAACTGGGCACTTTTTTCTTCAACCCCAATAATCTGATGTTAAACTAAAGATACTTCCAAAATAATTGTATAATAACCTAAGATGACTTCTTTCAAAGCCATATGGGCAAAATAGCTATCTATGGTAAAGCCAAATGTTCCTGGGACACCAAATCAGAGCACAATTTTTTTTTATGGTGCCAATTTTAAATAGTTTTATTTAAGACATTGCATTTTCCACTTACGATACAGTGCTTATAAAGTGCAATATTATTTTTCCCTGTGCACGTGGTCCATATTCAAGTATTGAGAATGCCCAGTAATTCACTATAGCAGCTGAACTTCTATGACTGCCAGAGTTCACTACAAATTGGGGTCCTTCAACAAGTTAAGGAAAGTTCCTGGGACTGTGGTTCACCTGGAATATTGGTTTTGACATGAACTGAGAGCTGGACAGTGGCACTGCAATAAAACACATCGCACTGAAAGGCTGACCCACGTGAGAAGGCTCCATGTTCACATCCCGAGACCTCACTGAGGAGCCCGGGCATGCATGTGGACCACAGTCTGGGGCTGGCTGAGGATAAGGGTCAATCCCAGTGTCAAGACCCCGTTAGGGGTACTGTCTATCTATATCTCTGTGTCTCTGGCTCACTTAGGAAATAAAGAAACAAACAAAATTATTGAAAGCTTTAGAGAATTCTCAGTCTCCACAACTTACCACTCTGGTGCTGTGGGAAGGTTGCAAAAAGAGACAAGAGTCAGCAAGAACAGAAGCAAAAATACAGATTTTTCAAGAATGCTACCTTAGGGACAAGCAGGTGGCATGGTGGTGAAGGTGCTGGACTCCCACACGACCAACCACAGTTAAAGTCCTGGACCTTGTGGCTTGAAAATGATGCCGGGTGCGCATACACGTGTTCCCCAAATCCCAAGAAGAGAATGGAGAAGGGATTGCGGCATGTCCATCCCTCCTGCGGGGGGTGATTTCTCACTTTCTCTTTCTGTTTCTTTGGCGAGCACATGCACACTAAAGCAAAACCTTTCTTGAAACAAAACAAAAAATTCTATCTTAATATACTCTAGTCAGTAATGTCCTATACTTAAACCTAGCTCAATATTTCTAACTTGTTTTATGTTTCCTGGGCTTGGTTGAAGTAATCATGTTACTCCTACATAATTCAGGTTTCAGAAGGGAAACAAGGCAATTCCAAGAATACAGAAGCCTAAAGAATCGAAGAGGTTAAAGAGGTCTTATATACCAGTACCTGAAGGATGGGCTACCTAGCAACCTGGAAATGGGAAATCTGATCTTTTTCCCACTGTACTAACAGACAACAGAACAAAGATACTCCAACTTTCTCAGAAACCCTAATATCCTCTTCAGTATGGAAAAAAGAAACATTTTCAGGTGAGGTCTTTTTGCTCCACTAAAATTACTACTTTGGAATCAGGTACCAATATATTTAAACGAAAAAAAAGGCAAAGAAAAAGAAAACAATAATAATAATAATAAACCACCTGTTTTGACTATAGGGACTATACATACTGGGATCATCCCAATATCTCCCCACTCTGGCTTATTTTCATAAGGCTGATGGTGAGATCAGGCTCTCCCAGGAAAGCTGTTTAAAATTAAACTCTACAGGACCAGCAGATGGTGTAATGGTTCCTCTGCTGGATTCCCACGTAATTGACCATGGTTTGAGTCTCAGACCCAATGGGTTAAACTCACGCTCAGCACATGTGCATGTGTGTCCAGGATCCTGAGAGGAGAATGGAGAAGGGATTGTGGTGTGGCCATCCCCCCCAGGGTCTTTTCGGTGAGCACACAGACCCTAAGGCAAAACTCTCTCTCTCAAAAAAAAAAAATAAATAAAATAAAAATAAACTCTAGGGGCTAGCAGGTGGCATAGTGGTTTTAGGTGCTAGACTTCTACATGGCTGACCACGGTTTGAGTCCCAGACCTGGCAGTTTGAAACTCATGCCAGGCATGTACGCATGTGTGCCAAAAATCCCAGGAGGAGAG